TTTGTAGAGGCGTAATTTAAATAAAACAATGGACGGTGGCAAGGTCCACCACCGATGTTTCAAAAATCAGTAAACTTAAGCATTGTTTAACAACAATATTTGAAAGTAGAGGGAAAAATGTATAACCAGCTATAACCTTGGTTGGAAAACAGTAATCTTTGAAATGGGGGAGATAAACGGTAATCTTTAAAAATTCATAATAAAAGTATTTTCTTCCGTTGGTAGTTTTTATTAGTTGAAAATGTAATTATTTTGTAAAATACCTTTAAAATTATAATAAAGCTTGAAACCTTTTTGCCACTCGCCCGTTTCAAGTTACCGCGTCTATAGGGTAAAAAGGTCTAGATAACAAATTTTTGAAAGACATCAAAAAAGCTCATTTCTACAATGATGAAGTAGAAGGCAGTTTATTGAACGTCATTAGGTAATTGTGCATTTGATATGTATTATTTTTTGTGATATATTTGTTATGGTTTTTACAATATAGTTTATATTTGCTCAAAGTCAAATTGGACCTTTGTGCCTCGCCTTGCTCTACATATATACTTTTTATTAAATTTACTTTAATTCATCGAATGTTACTTGAAACTTTTCAAAAAGCAGGTCAAAGAAGAGATACCTAATTCATTTTCTATCTCTCCTCGCAGAAATTTGAAAATTTGTATAAGCTCAGTAGTATTATTTACATTTATACACAAAATCCAGAATCAAAAAAGAATCTGAAAAACTTGAAACGTAATCAATAAGTCGAAAGACCAAAAAAGACTTGGATTGGATGGATTATGCCATGTTTTCTATAGAAAGTGTATAAAACTTCCAGTTTGATTGTATTGACAAAATATAGACAAACTAATGGGGTTTATTGTTTTCATAATACCTCATTAGCATTCAAACAACACATCCTTACACACTTAAAATAAAGTATTAATTTTTTTGATTCTTCAGAAATTGTTTAGAATATACCTTACTTAGCAAAACAACATTTGCCGGGTCAACTAGTATATATATACATATAGATACATTTATATATATATATGTGTGTGTGTGTGTAAAATAATATTGAGCTTGTATCTAAAAAAATCTCGCAACACCTCAGACGAAAAAACAATGATAAATATCATTTTGCACAAATATTAATCTTGTGAAACATCTAGATTTGATATTAACGACCTTAAAACAACAAAAACAAACAAAATTTTTAACAAATACTTTCATGAATCTCATAGTTATCTATAATTGCAGAATTACCAAATTAAGATTACTGCATTTTCGTGTAAGTAAAATGTTGTAAAAATTATGTTTGCATTACTGCACTTAAAATAATGTGACTCTAAAAACAAAAATTAGAAAATTCACTATTATAAAGATGTTATCTTATAAAATACTTGGAAAATGCAATATGATAGTAGATCACATTTTAGTAGATCTATTTTTTTTCATTTTTTATGCGGCAAATTTGCTATTGTGTCATAATGTGTTTTGTGTAATGAAGCAATTCATTTTAGTTTCTCAAGATTTATGTTATCAAATATTAGTTTTTTTAAATACTGTCTGACAAAGAGACGCATCATAAAAATGTACCAAGTCACCGTCAAGCTGCTGTGAATTTTTGATAACGATAAAATTCTTTTAATTTACAACACCTCGTATTCTTTATCTGAAAATTATGCGTACTGTTTGCCGCTACTTGCAGACGTTAGATTAAATTTATTATTTAATTCTATTTTTATCAAAATCAACAAGCGCACATAAAACTTGCTTGATGAAATTCGTTGTTTCGTCAATATTTTCAAGGCTCAAATAGTTGCCCGTCCTCAACCCGAAGAGGGGAAAATTTAATCCATTACCCAATGCGGTCCGGATGATTTTTTTGTAAAGAAAAAAATATTTTTCATTTTGATAAAATTTTGTTATATTTTCATTTTCGTGCTCTGTCATGTTTCATATTAATTAGTATTCTATAGTTATATATTATAGCCATTGGCGGAATATCAAATATTTGTTTAATTCACTTTATAGATTGCACAATTTAAATTTTGTTGAATCTTTATTTATTAACTACATATAGAAAGAGATGTGTGGTTTTTCTATATTTATTGAGATCATCTGAAAAGAATATATATTTTATATTTTTGTGACTTAAGCAAACTGTTTAATTTTTATTTTACCCGCATACATTTTTGTTCGTCTTTCGCATTACAAATTAATTATTCAAAATATTTCGTATTTTTGTATATACCAATTGCAAGCATCTACTTAAGAAAGAAATGCTTGAATTTATGGAGAGGCAGGTCTAGCACTTTTTTAGATCTAGTGAAAAAAGTGAAAAAACGCCATTTGGCGGTCAAAAATGATGATTAGATATATGCACATCAAATTATAAGATATTTTATAGAGCTTTTAATAATAAGAACAAATTTTGATTATATTTTTAATAATTCCGTACAAATATTTATTTGTTAGACCGCAACGCGGCGCTTACGCGCTTAGATATTTTTACTCTAAATTAGCTATGCAGCACGATTGCTTTAAAAAAGTGAAGTATTTTCAAAAAAACTCAATTTTTTTTAAAAGGACAATTTTAAAAAAAAATTCAAAATGCTCGAAAAACGATTTTTATCAAGTGCTAAAAAAATTATTAAGCTTTTTAGAAAAATTTAATTTTTGATACGGAAAGTTCACGCCCTAACCAATATCGCTACCGCTGGCCCCGCCAAATTGTAATTGCTGGATTTTTAATTTTTTTTTTTAAATAAGAGTAATACTGGTAACTTCTACTCACAGTCTTTTATTTTACTTATATTTTGATACAGTTATTGGAAAAAGAGCAACTGAACCGTTTGAATAACGGTGTTTATATAAGACTAAAAAACGTGTATTGCTGGTTCTTAGCTACGTATAAGAAAACCATATTGTTCGTATTGTTGTATTATGATGTATTAACCAATTCATGAACACAGCGATCTTCATGGCATTGAGATTTTATACCGGAATGCGACTACCTCGAGGTGAAGGTAGCACATAGTTAGACCGAGCTTAATTTCCAATTCCAAAACTGAAGTATATGCTTGGTAACATGAATCAATGAGTAATAAGTATATACAATCTTCGAATCAGTTAAAAATTAGTGACATATCATTTATTGTTATAACTTGCGATAATTATCACATTATTCAAACGAAGCAATGTTTATACAGTCCATAGCTACAAAGATTACAATATAACCAATTTATCAAGCATTTCAGGATCATGAGACCCTTTAACACATCACCTGGCATGTTTCATTCCTACATACCATGGTTGGCATTTGAAAATGCAAAGAAACGAATATTAAATTTGTTCCTTCAAGCTTCAAATTTTTATATCAATAATTAATTAATTCATTTAGAAGTTTAAAAACCAAATTGCCAAGCAACTTCAATCTGCACAAGAACTGTCGGGCGAGCCAAAAGGTTCATTCTTTTTAGAATGATGTAAATACATTAAAATAAACTCTATCCTATGTGATTTAAATTAATATATGTATTTGTCAAAGTGATATTGTCAAAATATGTGCAATGACAGGCAATTCTATCCAGCCTAAGTCTTTACCAGGCGTGGAAAAATATGCTTTGGCGAAAACGCAAGTAATCAAATAGGAGTAACGTAAAAACTTATACATGTAAACGTTCAATATATTATGTAAAAATTGAAAAACTTATTAATTACAATAAATTAGACAAGTTAACTTTTCCGTTTTTTTGCATTTTTAAACACTTGGGCGACTATGATGGCTGAAACCTGCCAAGCGATGGTATTTGTACTCTAATAATTACCAGTGCAAAATATTTCAGCCTTACAGGAACACAGTTATTCAAAAGTTTTCAAATGTTTAGTTTTTAGTGAATAGAGAAAATTTTCAGTATAAACTAAATTTTCGTTTTTTAAACAGTCAAGACGATTTCCAATTGATATCTTACAAACACAAATATTTCTGTAATTGTTGTGGTTAATAAAATCATAATTGTAGTAAGTAATTTGTAGTAATAATTGTAGAATGAGTTCAGAATATAGACAAGTGCAAATATGTTCTAAAAATGCTGCTTGTTATTCCACATTATAATGAATTTTTATAATTAAATCATTTCTCATAAGCCGATATTATTTTAGGGACAGTGAACATCAATATGCATAGTTTAACAACTGTTTTCAACTGGCATTTTTCGAATAATTTTAGATTTTTCAATATCGGTTTAAAATTTAATATCATTTTATCAAATTTAAAATTTGAAGTTTTCTGTAAATTATAAAGAAAAGTTTTAAAAACTTGGTCGATCGTCTCGCTAATCAACACGAGTATATATCGAATTTCATCAAATGGCTTTTGAACTTTTCAAAATCGATTCAGCCGTTTTTGGAGAAACGTCGACGAAATCTCAAATTTTGGCTCACATTGACTTGGATTGAGAAAAAATTGCTGGTCGGATTTTCTGGAGAAAACAAACTTCGGGAAGTTGAAAATGAAAAAGTGAGTACAAACCAATATATGAATACAAACCATGATCCTATGAATAATATAGAACGTTGAACAGATTGGAATATAGAAAAATATATTAATAAAAAGAATATATGCAAAGAAATTAAAAAAAGCTCAATAAATTTAAATAATATACGTGGCCAAATGCTAAAACTAGCAAAACCAAAAAATTTAGAACTACAGTGATTTCTTCTGATGCAAGTGGGGGAGACTTGTTTATCTGAGTAATAAAAATTCGTTTATATATTGATATGCAATATCACACATCAAGATAAGTCGGTCTTGCAATTAAATTACTTTTATATAAAATTTGGCATTTATCAAACCGCAAAACAAACAAACGTGTCATTTTGTGCCTGTGTCTGTGCTGCTTGCCAAGAGTGTCTTCTATCTATTTAATTTGTCTATTTATAATACGACTTGATATTATTTAGACATAACCGTTTGAGATGTGAAACTGAGAACGTCGTACGCCTCTACGAAAGGCTTAAAAAAGTATTTCATTTAGTGATTTTAAAAACTTAAGTTAAATAAAATTGCTGTCAGTGAAATGTGAAACAATATTTGTGAATTAAAATAAAATTAAGTTTAAAAGCTCTTCGCTAGTTTCAGGAGTAACGACGCCAAGATGACTTGTTTCAAGTAAATATTTTGTTTTCCATAGTTTTGATAAATATTTTTAATAAATTAACATCGACCAGATGTACCTTATATATATATATATATATATATATATATATATATATGATTTGACAAGATTTATGAAATAAATCAATATTGACTTTTAAATTAACTAAGATAATTGGCACAGGTACAGGTCATAATTAAAAGCCAAGATTATTTATTTCAAGTAAATATATAGTTTTCGATAGTTTTGATGTTAAAATATTTTTAATGCATTAACATCGACCAAATATACTTTTTATTTACGATTTAACACTGTTTATCAAATAATTCAATATTGACTTTTAGAATGACAAAGATAATTGGTACAGGCCATATGTAATTGCTCTACTTTTTTATATAAAATTTATCGAGCACATGTTTCATTTTAAGTTGTGAAAATGATAAACAGTAAACTCAAAGAAATTGAATATTGACAGGTTGTTGTGTTAATAAACTGTCCAAATATATCATAAATTTTTATTATTAATATTAAAAATTAGCTCTTTAATATTTTATACATAAATATACATAAGCTAAAAAACATTCTAAATCCAAATCTATCAATATAGTAGTAACTTTTAATTTGTAAATTATGTAGCATAAATTATCAAGGAACTCTTGCGAGACTTTATTTTTACTACTCAGTAAAAATGTACTACTTGTTTAAACAATAAAATTTTTGCAAGTTAAATTTTTGCAAAGGCAGGTTCAGCGGTTTCAATGAATCAGAAAAAAAATCTAAAAAAAACATTAGGCGGACGTTAATTAGATACTTTCGACAGTATGGATCAACCGACAAAAAAAGAATTGAAAAGTTTCAATATTATTAAGAGAAAAAAATTTAAAAAAAATCCCATATGTGTTCGTTTTTTTGAAAAATCTTCAAAGTTAATATAAAATTTCATATTTTCAAAAAAGACAATTCTTTTAAATTTTTTAGTAATACAATTTTTAAAATGTTTTCTATATTTTCAAACATGTTAAAATAATTTGTCTTTTCGAAGCTTTTAAAAATGTTAAGGTACGGGAAGTTTTAGCAATTTACTTTAAGGCACGATGCCATGCACCACTAGTTTAAAGTTGTTTATTGGGTCTCGTTTTAGCTTTTGGTGCAATCGAAGCACCAATCTCATTTCAAATTATTTTGTTATAAGTAAACTTAAGCATTATTTTGTATAATTTATTAGTTCTAATTTAAAAATTTTCGTTTTGTGAACCAGATAAATTTAATTTATCCGATTATTAAAAATATTTTATTGAGATGATTATTTATATATCTAATCAACGTTTTTATTACACTTACGGCATAAAATTTAATCAAGCCCAAAGTGTCATAATTCTCTTTTGGAATGCAGAGATAGTAGTACCACCTAATTTAGTGTGAAAAATGAAACTTTAAAGTTGATGTCAAACAATTTTTTTATGTAATTAACAATTCTGTGTAAAGGACAATAAAATTTTTGTTCGCACTTCATTTTATTATATTGGTCATGAAGGTGACAATCTTCATGGCATTGAGCTTTTACACGGGATGGTTGCTGCTCCTGGTATATGGGGTAGCGGAGAGTTTAACGGGACTTGTTAATTGTTCACTTCTAAAAGAAAAGTCCGCGTAACAACATGTGTAATAAATAATCAATAAATATATCTTCTTGCAACAAATACATAAACTATACGAACAAATCAGTGTTTAATACAGTCCACAGCTGCAAGGGTTAATATATAACCCAACAACCTGAGTTATCGAAGGAGAGTTTTAATACATGCTATAACTACATAACATGCATACAATTTTGAAGAAAAAAACACAATACGTTATAACAAATAATTTGGAAAAAATAACTTTTCTATCTGAAGCATTTTGGAACCGGATAACTTGACTTGATCTTTTCCGAATAACTTGAATAAATATAGTCTAAGAAAGCATGTGTTTTTAACTTTCCCAAGGAAAAGTTTGTTTTCATAAAAAAATCCGATTTGCTAATTTTATATTTAAGTCATATTATTCATTAAAATTGGGAATAATAAACTTCAATTTTAGGACAAATAAGCACGTGTGTGTGCAATATAATTGATATAATTCTGAAAATTTAATTGTGTTTCTAAAAATTTAATGGGAAAACACATTGTTTAGATTTAATTGAGAACGCAAACTATTTTCGGCGTAAACAGTTGAACATTTTATCTAAATATTTAATTCTCAATTTCGATTGATTATGTCAATTATAACACACTTCGGAAAGTTCATGCAACTTGGCTTAATTTGGCATACCTTAGAAAAAATGGATGTATGTGTGCGGATACAAATTTTCGTCGAAAATTTCGGAAACACCGATCAACCGATTTGAATAATTCAAAAAACGTTCGATTCGTATTGATAAGGAGACAAAAATGTTTATTGAACATATGTACATCAAATTATCAGATATTTTATAGAGATTTTAATAATGTGTACAAATTTTGTGTAAATTGTTTTGGGTTCCATACCAAGATTTTTAATTACGGTACGGGAAGTTCCAGCAATTTGCCTTAAAACACGATGCCATGCACACCACCAGTTTCTATTATGTTTATAAAGTTTATTTTTCAATAATATTTTGAAACTTTCATTTTTGAAGAAAATATAGTATATAATTGTTATGATCAGAATGCATGTATTTTTTTATTAAATTCAGAAGCATTCTATATTGCTTTTAACAAAAAGAATCGTTACATTTGTATAGTATTATCTAAGTTAAAATAAATAAATAATAAAAAGTAAGGTGTGAAGAATCATGAAAACCAGGTGTAAGCACTATTGGAGAATTTGTTTTTTATCAAAACAAATTGTTTTTATCAAAAACAAATAGATTTCCAAATCGATTGTATATTTACTATATTGCCAAATTGCTTTTGTAATTACAATTTAAATTTAAAATTAAAAACTATTAAAACTTTGTAATTTTTCAATAGACATAAAACGCTGACTAATTGAATTATTAGTGAAAATGAACAAATCTACAAAACTATTCAATGCATTTTAAATGCAAAAACTAACTAACTTGTAAAACATTTTACTAACTGTTAAATGTTATGTTTTTGCATCATACAAGTATTAAAATATTTTTTAAGACTGATAATTTATGAACGAATGTAAAAAACTAGTGGGGTGTATGGCATCGTGCCTTAAGGCAAATTGCTGGAACTTTCCGTACCGTAACGAAATGTTCGAGGAATATTGAACGTTTTCAAATAGATTATTATAAATATTGTAACATTGTTTAATATTTATAAGAATTATATAAACTGAACTGCAAAGTTGAAATTATTGGTTTAAAGTATATTAGAACTTTAGTAAAAATTAAAAATAAAATCTGAATTATTTTCGACAAAAAAAAAATTTTACAGAATAAAAAATTGAAAAAAAAATGCAACAATTTTTTCCCCTAAAATCAATTATTTTGTAAAATAAGCCGAAACTTCTTTGAATCATTGAATCAAATCGGACGCTTAGTTCTCTCAGAAACTGCCATTTTTTGCACATTCAGCTCTGTATCTTCAAAATAGCTGGGCCTGCCTTTGCCAAAAATTAATAACCAGTTCTCCCAATCACTACTAATTGAATGTTTTTTAGATCATTCAATTTGGAAGCTCCGTTCTCTCAAAAACTCGATTACTATTTTTTGCACTCTTTGCTTTTTATCGCCGTAACTGCTGGACCTGCCTTTACCAAAAACTAATTACCACATCTCTCTATCAATAGGAATCAAATGTTTTTAAACCATTGAAATCGGTTGATCCGTCCGCCCGAAAACGTAACCGAAAATTTGTATCCATACATACATACAAACACACACACACATCCATTTTTTCTGAGGTATGCCAAAATGTTCAGAAACTTCTAGAACGTAAAGATATATGAAAATTTTCATTTTCAATTTTTTGCGATTACTATAACTTACCGTTACTTACAGTTAAATATTAGTGTTATTTTGAAAAATATTTAAAGATCTCGGTGCTATTCCGTACAATTTTAATGCGCTCTTGAAATTTTTGATAAACAAATTTATTATTCAATTCTTCAATTCATATCGTGTTCAATTATAATATAATTGATCAATGTTCTCATGTAAGCTGTACTGCAATAATTAACTTAGTATGTCAGATTAATTTAATTTCCTGCTCTTGTTGTGTGGAAGCAATACACAGACGTATAATGTTTATTTCATCAATGATGATACAAATTAAACTAAGCTTCTGCAGCTATACGATTATTTTATGTTTCAACAGATGTAACCTTATTATATATATAATTTTGTTTTTACTCTTATAGTATTAACGGATTGTTGCAATTAGTGTTAAAATATTGTGAAAAAAGCATATTTTATAAAAAGCCCAAATCACAAATACTTGGCGTAAACAATCTAATAGTGCGCCTGTTATTTTTTTTAATTATTACAAATAATCTGATTTAAATTTTGAAACATTCACAGTAATATGCCAGAAATATTATTATAATTTCATAACTAATGAAAGCATTCATTAAATAATTAATATTGAATTAATGTAATGATGATATAATTATTTTCAACTCTTCTGTCTTCAGAAGTAATTTGTAATTGTACATAAGTAATTGAACTTACAATATAGTATTCATCATGTTAAACACATATGTAAATTGTCAATTCAATACCAATAATTGGAGGCACAAAATTTTAAATAAATTAAGAAAACAAAATTTTGTGCTCTTGTATTAATAACGCATAGCTCCAAATCAATGCAAATAAAGGCAAATTGATGGAACTTCCCGTATCATATTTAAACATTGTGTGTAAAATATAGGAGCTTATAAATCAGACGATGGCATTTATATATGTTCAAGAAAAGTAAATAAACAAAACCTAATCAAGCCGTTTTCATTTAGAATGAAAGGCCTTGTCTCACATTTGATCATGCATTGGAAAACCTTATTTCATAATTGTAAATATTATATTAAC